TTCCACTTGGTTATCTCGAAATAGAGGATGAGGGGTAACATAAGTAAGTTTTAGAATAATATGACAAACATTATCTTTGTTCTTTTTAAAAACTATAAAAAGAATTAATAATGAGAATAAATGCTTCATAAGAATCTCAGACGTACGTGCGTTTATTTAGAATTTACAAAAAAACACTAAAATTGACAATAATTTGCCGATAAGTACAGATAATTACTCAAATTAAATGTAAAACATTCATAAAATATTACCAGGGTTCTTAAATCTCATTCGTTGATCATTCAAAATGATAGACATGCAAATTGATTCCGTCATGAATGGCAATAAGCCGATTACGATTATATTACTAAAATAATCAATGTACCATTTTTTATAAAGGTACAAGCTAAGAGAGCAAGTCCTTACTCTTGAGGTGTCACATATTTTCAAGGCACGTTTTGTAAGTACATCACAGTCACCTATATTTAGAGATATTGTAAGATCTTTTCAATGAGCTTGATTCTATTTAAAATAAACAATAATAAAATGTCTCCTAGACATCACATATAAAATTGCATTGAAGTCTCACATGTGTACAAGTAGAACACAAGTCACATCTAATATTATTGCTGCATTTGCTTATTATTTATATGTTCTATTTTTAGTTTAAAATTTGACTAATGTCATTTGCTAACCACTAAAGCTTTCTAATTGGTCAAAAGATGACATCTACACCTGTTGTGATTGGTCATTCTAGCAGTATCATGATTGGTCTATATTCTTATTTCCTGTTCAGAACCATCTGATGATCCTGCTAATTGTAATATTGAGTTTTTATACTGACGTGGTTTTTGGGGTGTAGAATGTCCAGAGTTTTTCTCCGATTGCAGTGGGGATATTGAGGGACTCCTAGTTGCTAGGGGAGATAATGTTGGAGTAAAACTTGGTGAGAATGCTGGGGAAGTGAAACTGGATTCATGGCTAATTGGTGAGCGGGGACTTGACAATGAAGTTAGCAATGAAGTCCTGTTTGAATTAGTTGCTGATGAGGAAGATGATCCTGACCCCTGACCCCCTGAATTTGGCATATGACCCTCAAGGTCATGTGGGGGGTCTATGTGTTGCATCCCTAATGTCTTTGGTGGGGCATTAGTTATCAAGGGAGGGGGGACAGTTCTCACTTGAGTTATTGGACTATTCCAGTTACCATCCTGTTGCACTATTTTAGTAGGTTGTTTTTTAGGTTGAATGTTCTCATCTTTCAGTCTGGCAATTTCAGCAAAAACATGAGCTAGGGGGTGATACTGCGGTCCCCAGTCAAGTAAATAGTCCCAGTTATATGAGCCAGAAAACTCTTCCTCCGAATTTATAACACTTGAGAGAGAGCCTGCATGAGATGGCTCTGTCTCCGCTAAATTAAACTCTCTAGTACCGTCCATAATTGCGAGATTCTCATCAGCCGCAACCTCACCTAGTTTGGCATAGACAAGGTTGCCAATGTCAAGGCCATCCCCCTCGCCACCTCCCTCATCACTAAACTGATGCATAGACTCTACACTCTGAGTAAGTTTGGGTTTATCTGTATTGATCTTAGAAGAGTCAATACCCAGACGGGCAAGATAGTCTTTATGATTGCGTACTGAATGTTCAGACATGGCATCCTCATCTTGCTGGATACCAGAGTCAGGCATACCACCACGAAGACCCACCTGGTGGACAGTATCCGAATTAATAGCACGTATTTCCTCATCCTCTTGATCAGAGGCTGAACCTCGCCCACTGGAGGCAGAATGTGATTGGTCAGATATATCTGAGGTGGTTATATTATGGTTATTATGTCTGGGTGAGTATTGATGAATAGCATTATAACTGGGAGGCGCCTCCTCTCTTGGCGTGTGTGGGGCATGAATGTCAATACCATCGAATGAACCAACATAATGATTGTTGGATAGTGGAGTTGGTTGGCGTTTACGTTCACGGCTCCTTATATACATCACAGCAATCACGATTATTAAGATTACTGCAATGATGACAAAGACTATAACCAATACTAAGGGGGTTCCACTAAGGGTGGTGGGCTGTATTCGAGGTCCTGGAACACCACAGCCTGAACATTCACGATCAATGATACACTTCACTGCAACAAAGTCATCAAGTGAATCAATCTTCCCTGTACTTGCTATGACGAGCATTGTCACTTCATCAACTTGTAACGAGCGTTTACGTCTTTCTTGAGGAACTTCAAATTGTCGAGACACAAAACGACGTCTCCGTCTGAGACCATCTTGTGATTGGAGATCCTTAACAACTGTGAGGATACCATGCGTGGCATTGATCGCGAAATATTCATGTGGATCTTTAAGTGTGTATACAATGACTCCAGATTCTCCACCATCTTGATCTGTTGCTATGACCTGACCTATGACATCACCTGCCTTGGCATTACCAGGAACACTAAAACTGTATTCAGTTGTGTCAAATTTGGGAGCATACTCATCTACACTCTCAATGTCAACCTTGATTGGTGCTATAGCCCAATGTCCACCTCTGTCTGTAGCTTGCACTTCAAATCTGTAACTATTCCTGGCTTCATAGTCAAAGATCACGCTAGTTTTTACTTCACCAGTATGACGATCAATAGAGAAAAACTTTGAGTTGTCTCCTAGTAATTGATATTCAACTAGTCCATAGAAGCCACCATCATTATCAATAGCATTGGCAGTGAATACAGAAGTTTCTGTTGGTTCATTTTCTCTGACCTCAGCCTGGTACATCATCACGGGAAAGAATGGACGATGCTCATTAACATCTGTCACATTGATTATAACTGTTGTCAGGGAGTACTTCTTTGGTTGATCCTGACTGGAGTCCTGGGCTTTGATGATCAAACGATGTTCTGTGGTTTTCTCATGATCAAGGACATCTGCAATCCTGATCCAACCACTTCGAGGATCAATAATGAACAAGTTTTGATCATTTCCGGAGGTGATCTCATACCGTAAGCGCCCATTAGCATCCGTGTCCAGGTCAGTAGCAACCATTCGTATGATCTTGGAATCCACTTCCATAGTTTCATTTACCTGCAAAACATGTGATACTTTCATAAGAAGCATGTACTTGGGAGACATATTTTACCACCATAGAGGTTTAAGTTAACAGGTAGCATACAGTATAGCGCTCTATTGCAACTTATGTTTACTTCAATTCACATGACTAGCATATAAGTGGAGTTAAATCAATGTTCTATTGCAACTTATGTTAACTTAGGTGGAGGTATTTCTTAGAAACTATAGAAGCAAATACATACCTGAATGTGATATTCTGAGCTATCAAAAGTTGGTTGGTTATCATTGATATCTTCAACGATGATTTCAACTATTACTGTAGAATTCAGGGGTGGATCTCCACGATCTTTAGCCATGACCACTAGCTCATACATTGCTGTTCTCTCACGATCAAGCTCAGCTATCAGAATTATATCACCACTGGTTTGGGATATTTGGAAAGCGTTGGCAGTGTTGCCACCAACTATACTGTAGTAGACTTTCTTGTTCTCTATAGAGTCGTCCTGGTCAATTGCTAAGACATTCTCAACAGTCTGGCCTCTCAGGGCATCTTCAGACACACTGGCACTGGAAGTAATAACAATATGATTATTTCAAGAGCATGGAATTTTTAGAAGGGTCATGGGTTCTTTTACACTACCTATATTTACTCATTTTTAAATATTTTAGCTCTTACCTGTATTTTGTGCGTGAGAACTCAGGCGAGTGGTTGTTGATATCTATAACCTGCACTTTAATAGCCACAACTTCAGATAAAGATGGCGTCCCATGGTCACGTGCAGTCACTACTAGATGTACAGTTGGCTGGGTGGCATCATAAACTATCGTCTTATTGGTATATATGGTTCCTAAAAAATTGAGCCATAGGAATATTACACAACAAATTTGATTTGGTTTTATTTTCAATTGTGAATTTCAAGATGATCAGAAGGGTTATGTTAATGCACATTGCACATGTGCAATTTTGTATTTTTTTTATTTTTTATCATCATAGGCTACAATATGATATGTGGGTGAAACCACTTTTTATTTTATAATTCCATATACTAGTACATTGTTTCAGTAATCATGTTTCTCCATACCTGTAAGTGAATTGACAAAAAAGCCATCCTGAGGGAGCATACTGTATGTGATTCTCGCATTCTCACCAGAGTCCCGATCAGTTGCATTGACCGTTATAAGAGAGTAGTCCTTAGAGGTGAGTTCAGGTATGGTGACTTGATAGGATTGCTGGCTGAATTCTGGGGGTGAGTCATTGATGTCTTGTACAAGCACCATTAACTCTGTACTCTCTACATGCTCAGAGTCTGATACCTGAAAGGCAAAAAGGAGGTCTCTATTTAGAAAACAAATTAACTATTTTGAAAAAGTGTTGAAGTGATGAGGTCCTTATTCAGAGATTATTGGAAAGTTAGACTGACATCTGACATTTTGTTTTATATCAATGGAAACATAGAATCTATGGACAGAAGGCACTTTCCTTTGACTTTCTTCTCTCATGTAACTCATTTTTCACATTTCTCACCTCAATCATCAAATTATAGTTTTGTCTGATTTCGTAATCAAGTTCCTTAGCAACAGAGATTTTGCCACTAAACCTATCAATGCTAAATGTGCCATCAGGGTTGCCTGCTGAAGAGAAGTCATAAGTAAGGGTTGGCTTCAGATCCACATCATTGGCTGTTACTGTCTTTATAATTGTGCCTAGTTCTGTGCCTACAATTAACAAGACAATATTAGAAATCATAAAATAAGTAAGCACTTTAAAACCTAATAATTATCTTGACATTATTTGCACATATACTATAAACAATTCAAATCACTATAAATATATCTTTGCAATAAATCTTTTTAGTAAGAGTTCAATAAATGATGAGATGAGACGACAGAGTGGCTCATAAATATCAAGCAAGGTGAATAAGCAGCACTTACCTTCTTGGACTTTTACAGGTTTGTATTGTGGGAAGTATGGAGGATTGTCATTGATGTCTATCACCATAATACGTAATGTACATGTGCTTGACATGGAGGGGTTGCCATTGTCCCTTGCCTCTATCTCCAGCCTGAATACAAATGGAGAAACATGAAATATTTTTGATTAGAAAAAATGAAATACGCAAGTCTCTGCAAAGGTGTTTACGAAAATTTCTAGTATATGTTTTTATCGAGAATATTCCTAAAATGTTGTAATTTGTACACTGTATAAACTATTTTACTATAAATTGTCTGATGAGCCAACCAGAACAACGGCAACGCCAAAGCGTAGCGAATCCCATCGAACAGCCATAGATGGCATTTTTACAAACAAAGTATAAAGCAAAAATGGCAGCCATTTTTCAAAATGGCCGCCTTCTACCAAAAGTGTCATTAGATCATGTGCCATGCTTATAGTATTCATATACCAAATATGAACAAAATCGCTCCGAGACTTTTTAAGTTATAGTAAAAAACGTTAAAATGGCGGCCATTTTTCAAAATGGCCACCTTCTACCAAAAGTGCCATAAGACAGTGTGGCGTGCTTATAGTATTTACATACCAAATATAAACAAAATCACTCCACTAGGACCACTACTTTTCGAGTTATAGTAAAATACGTTAAAATGGTGGCCATTTTGAAAAATGGTGGCCATTTTGAAAAATGGCCACCTTCTACCAAAAGTGTCATTAGACAGTGTGCCATGCTTAAAGTATTCACATGCCAAATATGAACAAAATCCCTTCACTACTTTTCGAGTTATAGTAATTAAAAAACATTAAAATGGCGGCCAATTTTCAAAAAAAATTTCAAAATGGCCGCCTTCTTTCAAAAGTTTCATAGGACAGTGTGTCATGCTTATAGTATTCACATACCAAATATGAACAAAATCGCTCCACTACTTTTCGAGTTATAGTAAAATACGTTAAAATGGTGGCCATTTTGAAAAATGGCCACCTTCTACCAAAAGTGTCATTAGACAGTGTGCCATGCTTATAGTATTCACATACCAAATATGAACAAAATCGCTTGACTACTTTTCGAGTTATAGTAAAATACGTTAAAATGGTGGCCATTTTTCAAAAAAAATTTCAAAATGGCCGCCTTCTACCAAAAGTGTCATAGGACAGTGTGTCATGCTTATAGTATAAACATACCAAATATGAACAAAATCGCTCCACTACTTTTCGAGTTATAGTAAAATACGTTAAAATGGTGGCCATTTTTCAAAATGGCCACCTTCTACCAAAAGTGTCTTTAGACAGTGTGCAATGTTTATAGTATTCACATACCAAATATGAACAAAATCGCTCCACTACTTTTCGAGTTACAGCAAAAATCGTAAAATAACGAGTAAAGGCCGCCATTTTTCAAGATGGCTGCCATGTGCTTCTTTAATATCTACATTTCTAGCTTTATTAATGTCCTATATAATTTTTTTACATCTAAAACGTATTGCTATTACAGTTTTACATATTGCACTTAAATTACTGTAAATTCGGCACTAAAATGGCCGCCATTTTGAAATGAGTGGCCATTTTGAAAATCGGCTAACGAGCAGAACTTCTACCCCCATAGGGTATATGTGTACAAAATATGAACAAAATCGGGCCAACGGTATTTGAGTTATTGCCCGGACGGACGGACAGACAGACAGACAGACGGACGGACGGACGGACGGACGTACCGACGGACGGAGGCGTTCCCTATATCCCTCCGAACTTCGTTCAATGGGATAATTATCATGCTGGTCAAGGTATGAAATGCAAGTCATTAAAGATATGGCTGAAGAAATAATAAATACACAAACAGACATATAGTCAACATTCAGTTAACTGATTGAGAATGTAAAGAGATGAGTTGAATATGCAAGAGAAGAGGATGTTACCTGTACGAGTCCACCACCTCTCTGTCTAGTTTAAGCTTTGTCTTCACGATACCCAGATGTGGCGGGTCAATGATAAATGCTGGGTAACCATTCAGATTGTTACCGCTCACAATAGTATATGTCACATCACTGTTGATTCCACTATCCAAGTCTGATGCTGACACCTATTGGAAAGATAAACAGTTATAATAAAGAATTCAAAATATACAACACCAGGCCTTTAATAACAACAATGAGTAAATAATTTAGCATTGTAAGCTTTGTTTATTTAAGATTCATTTTATTTTGAAGCATGGAATGTGATATGATTTTTCAAAGAAAATAATTTCTCTGCACAGGAAACACTAAATTTGATAGCATTCTTCTTAGTAATGAAATAAAAGCAATTATTCATGATATGAGTGAAATGTGAATAACTTCTTAAAGCAGGTGTTTATTTCCATGTCTTACCTGTGCAACATATGTGCCCTTGTCTTGTTGTTCCCACACAGAAGAACTGTAACGATCCTGCGTGAACCGTGGAGCGTGATCATTGACATCCTTCAAGTTAACCCACACAGTGGAGTAGCCATAGGCATTGTTTGCAGTTGCAGCAATGATCAGTCTTAAAGTTTGGTGTATCTCATAGTCTAACTTAGCTGGGTTATTCACCACAATATGACCTGCAAGTGCAATAGAAACATTTGAGAATGTCAGCAAATATGCTAAAAGAGATGAAAAATAGAATGACCCTGTGGATGAAACACTTCAAAATCTTTTTATTAAACTGGAAAAATATTCACAATAAGAAAGTAAAGTTATAGAAAGATACAAAAAACAGTTGAAATTTTACCTGTATTTTCTCTAATAGAGAAAGTGTTCTCCTCATTGCCACTAACAAAGCTATAGACCAGGCTCCCCTGCCCACTGCCCACAAAGTCTGCCGTCACATGTGCCACAGGTGTGTTTCGTGGTACATTCTCAAAGAGGGAGACATTGTACATGAGGTTGCGAAACCTAATAGTGCCAAGATCAGGTGTGTTGCCTACAGTAATCTCAACCAGACCTGAATATAGAACACAACAGTTAGAACTGCATGATAACAAAAATAGTAATACATTAATCTACCAAATGAGGGTTGTTCTTGATGTTCTGAAGTAAATGTTCTTTGACAAGGAATATCAATATATTCAACACTGGCATTGTACAAGTATAATGTTGACACAAAAGTTTCAAAACTTGACAACAAACAGAAAAATAAAGCTGATTTTAATCCTGAAATTATTTGCATTCTTATATTACATTGACTCCCATATTACCTTTGGAGCTGAGCTGAATCTGACCCTGGTCAGCCGCAACTATGTCTAAACGATGAACGCCAACTGCTGCCTCATCCAGAGACCTGGATGTAGTGATGATCCCTGATTGGCTGTCTAGCTTGAAGTATGTGGATGTTGTAGTATCAGGGTCAAACATGTAACGTACAGTTGAATTTTCTCCAATATCTTTATCATCAGCTTCCACCTGGAATTCAAAAGTTTTGATTGGTAAGAAGTGGTCATGTGATCACACTCAGATGTCAGTTGCCCTGATATAACAAAATTCTGTACAATAAATCTTATCCAAAGACTAAATTGGCATTCAACCAATATTTAAATACCTCTTCTTGAAATGGTACCAAAAAAACTACCTCACAAAAAGCATTACCTTGACAACAAACTGGTCTCTTCCAAGGGTATTAGATATGCCAGCCTGATATGGAATCTTCTTGAAGACTGGTTTGTGGTCATTCACATCCAAGATTGTAACATCTACCTTCACTCTGTCAATACGAGGCCCATATAAGCCCCCATCTATTGCCAGAGCTTCAAATGAATAATGAGCGATCTTTTCACGATCAAACTCGCTGAAATAAAGAAGGTGTCATTAAAGTCTATTCAAGTTTTGTAGTAGTTGGTGTCATCAAGGGGTTAACCTTTAGCTTTGTAATCATCATGAGATTGCAATGACTGCACTGTTTTATCCTCAAAGGTTGTTAGGTTCACATGACTGAGTTGATTTGTGTCAATTTGTGTTTTCTGTATATTTTTGAATGTTTGTGTTATTTTGTATCACATGATTAAATTGTCCTTATCCTGATTGGGAGTTATTCCTGTGACAACTAGTGAACTTACCCTGCAGATGTGATCATTCCTGTTGCATTGTTGATCTTAAAGAGCCCCTGTGTATTGTTATCCAAGGCATATGTGATCCTGGCATTCAAGCCCTCATCTCTGTCACTTGCAGTCACCTAGAAATACAGTAAAAAGAATGAATTTAATTCAATCGTGGATCAATCATATTCAAAGGTTTATGAATATGTCACTTGGACTCTTATCTTGATATTTTTATCAAATAGTTCTGTCAAATACAAGGGGCTTTTGAAAGTTCGTTTCTTTTTGCTCTAATTTTTTTATTTTTACTCATCTATTTATGAAACTTTCAGCATATTTTCCATGTGCATATATCTTGAGCTTACATCAATATAAATAATGACACACCAGACATATATGACATGTATACCTTGTTTACATCTTACCTTTCATAAAATACAACAAACAACTCACCTGTATTATTGAATGATTGACAGCTAAATCCTCTGGAATCTGCACAGAGTAATTAACATCCTCGAAATATGGATCATTATCATTCTCATCACGCACATTGATAACAATATGTGAAACTGACATCATGGGAGGATCCCCATGGTCAGTGGCTGAGATGGTCAAATTGTACTTGGCTTTAGCTTCACGGTTCAGAGGCTGGCATGACAACTGGCCTGATTGGTCGTTGATCTCAAACAGATCCTCAGGATCTCCAGCTGAAGTGCAGTTGAACAATGTTAATGAAAACAGTCCCTGGTAATATTATTACTCAACTAAAATGTTAATAGACTGATGAGAGCTTTCTTCTGCCTATCCAAGAAGTGTTAAAATAGTTTGGATATTATTACATTGAAAAATGAGCACTTCAATCTCTGAAGCCATATGAAGACTTCACTATGTTATGCTCATAGAATAACAAGCATATTCAACTCACCAATAATTGCATACACCACTTGTCCATTCACCCCAATGTCAAGGTCACTGGCACGCACTGTATGAATGACGGAAAATTCCGCATTTTCTGGCACTTCCAGCTCGAGATATGGATCTTTGAAGACAGGAGCATTGTCATTCTTGTCTAGAATGTCTACCAGGATTGTGGTTGTGTCATACAGGGAGGGAAAGGCACCATCTCTAACATATGCTGTAAAATAGAGCAACATTCAACAGGAAGTGTAGATAAAATTGGAATAGAGCGAGACAAGAAAAATGAATGAATAAAAATATTTGATGACATTATGAACAATGTTTTGGGTAGCACAGAGCACATATAATTTCTAGCTAAAATGTATCAATTGTAGATGGGAAGGAGGTGACAAAGTTGTGATCACTTACCTGTGACAACATAGCTGTCACTTGTAGATGGAAAGGAGGTGACAATGTTGTGATCACTTACCTGTGACAACATAGCTGTCACTTGTAGATGGGAAGGAGGTGACAATGTTGTGATCACTTACCTGTGACAACATAGCTGTCACTTGTAGATGGAAAGGAGGTGACAATGTTGTGATCACTTACCTGTGACAACATAGCTGTCACTTGTAGATGGGAAGGAGGTGACAATGTTGTGATCACTTACCTGTGACAACATAGCTGTCACGTGTCTCACGGTCAAGAGCGCCATCTGCAGTTGTGATGACTCCCATCTGTGGGTCTATCTTGAACCTGTTTTCTGCTATTCCCATAGGGATGATGTAGGTCAGCTTTGCATTTTGGCCTGCAATACAACATGATTACAGAGGTCAATTTATGCAAAACACATTCCCCATATTATGTTCAAAAAGAAATTGCATCATCAATATTTTTTTAAATATTGGCCTTTGAATTCCCAAAATTTAAATACTGGGATTAATTATGTGAATTAATCGTGTACATATCATTTCTTCATAAGTCGAGCAGACCATGAATTCGTATCCCATAAATTCACTTACCGACATCTTTGTCTGTTGCATGAACTTTCACCAAAAATGTATTTGGTGGCTTATTTTCTGATATGTTTGCTTTGTACACGGATTGTATATCAAAAATAGGTGGGTTGTCATTGGTGTCAATTACATAAATCATGAGAATCTGAGAGTTGCACAATCTTGGATGGCCGTGGTCGCATGCTGTGATGTTCAGACGGAAGATCTCCTTGCCTTCTCTGTCAAGTAATTTACCAATGGTGAACAGACCTGGAAGGATGCAATTTGAATAGTTTGAATTCTGAAATGTTTCCATACTTTTGGAAATACATGACCTGAGAAAATAACATTTGTATGAACTGGGTAATGCTAACATTACATGTGTATAAATGTATCTACTCAGCACTTTAAATCATGATTATGTTTAGCCAAGGGAAGAGTAGAGGAGACAAAATGTCACCAACTAACTTTTAACAGTGTAACATTTTGGAATGGACCAATGTAACAACTGATACAGATACAATGAACCCTTCTTGCTAGTGACATACTAATATAGTATTTCCACTAACCTGTAGCAGACTCCAGACTGAAGTGACCTTCTTCATTCCCTGATGATACAACATAAGACACATGCCCATTCTCCAGAGAATCACGATCATTAGCTATGACATACATCAAGGGGTAATCCAGCGGCTCATCTTCCATGACATCAATACGAGATCTTGACACAAACACTGGGGCATTATCATTGATGTCATCAATTTTTATAAGCGCTGTGACAGTTGTTTCTAACGCATCAAGCTCATTCTTTGGTTGATCAGCAGCTTTAACAATTATTGAGATCTCCTTAATGGCTTCATAATCGATGGCATGCTTTGTATAAAGTTTCCCTGTCGTGGAGTCAATTCTGACGTAATCACTGGAGTTATCTGAGCCTCCTATGATTTCATAGCGTACTTGACTGTTAGCGCCACTGTCCATATCAATAGCTGAGAAACTATAGATGGCCTCACCTACTGGAACATTCTCATGAATACTCAACAAAACTGGATCTTCCTCAAACAATGGTGCATGGTCATTCAAGTCAATAATAGTAATGTTCACATTTGTGACACTACTCTTAGGGTTGATGATACTGTTATCAACAGCTTTGATTTGCATTTTGTAATCTGAGCACATTTCATAGTCAACAGTCCTAGCAATATAGATGGCACCAGTGGTTAAGTTTACACCGAAGGTTCCAAATAAATTGCCACTCACCATGTAGTACGAAACACGACCATTTTCACCTGAGTCAGGGTCTGTTGCCTTAACTGTTCCAACTGTAGTAGCAGGTGGAGTATTTTCATTCACTTCAAGTGCAACATTAGCAGTTTCAAACACAGGAGCAGCTTCATTAATGTCAGCAATACCTACATTGACAGTTGCAAGAGTGTACTGTGACACCTTACCATTATCCTCTGCTCTAACAATAAGGGTATATTCATTCTTTTCTTCATGGTCCATCACTTCTTTAGTTGTTATCAATCCAGTCTTAGAGTGAATTGTGAACTTTCTAGCATCTTGATCAGAGCTGGAATCAAAGCTGTATGTCACTGTACCATTCTCACCTTTATCGAGGTCTGTGGCTACGACTTGTATGACAGTGATGCCTTTAGGCTGGTTCTCATCGATAGTGGCGAAGTATGGGCCTGTGTGGGTGAATACAGGGGCGTTATCATTGATGTCTTTCACAATGACACGTACATGAGTGGTTGAGCTCCTGGGTGCACTCCCACCATCTGATACTCCCACAGAGAACTCATAAACTTCCTGTTCCTCCCTGTTCAACATCTGCCGTGTACGGATAATACCAGATGCGCTGTAGACCCGAAAGAAATCATTCTGTGAGGTCAAAGAGTAGCGGAGGTCAGTCCCAATGTCTCGGTCTATTGCAGAAACTGCCCCCACAATGCTATCAGGCTCGATGTTCTCCTCCATGTGGAATACATACTCATCTTCAAGAAATTCAGGGTTGTTGTCATTAGCATCTAGCATGGAAACAGTAACCAAGGCAGTGGAGGATTTCTGGGGTTGACCAGCATCTGTTGCCACGACAGTGAACAGGTACATGTCCTGAACCTCTCTATCTAAATCCTGACGATTATACAGGTAGCCATCATCAGAGAATATTCCGAACTGCTCAGATCCCTCCCCTTCTTGTATGCTATATGTAATCCTTCCATTGTTTCCAGAATCTTCATCAGATGCATTCAATCGGAAAAACTTTGTATTAATTGGAATGGATTCTCCGAGTGGAATGAAGTAACTTGATTGGTTAAAAATAGGTGCGTGGTCATTGACATCTTGAATATTTACAATGACAGTCATATCAGAATTTTGCGAGACAGGGGTACCCAAATCATACGCATTCACAACCATTGTGTACTGCTTCCTCGTTTCATAATCCAAGCCTCTATTTAAGCCTATTTTCCCAGTCAGTTGATCAATTTTAAAGACTGATTCTGGATTCGTTTTAAGTTGGTATCTGACTTTGGCATTTACTCCGCTGTCCTTATCAGTAGCTTGTATGGTATAGATGGCAGCACTGGTACTGACATCCTCACGAACTTGGATCTCAATGTAGTTGACAGTGAACTCAGGTGCATTATCATTGGTGTCAGTTATGCTGATGTTCACCTGTAGAAAGAACGGAGAAATAAAATATCAATAAGTCTATAAAGGAGTAAAAACCAACGTAATATATGGACCAAAAATTTAATTCTGTTCATTTGAGATCTTTGGCAATGGCCAGAATAAAATTTGAGTTTATATATTTGACATAAATCATAAAATCGTGGCCTTTGTTACGATTCTAAAATGATAAACAGACAAGAAATACAACTAGTGTATTTGCATTTATAAATTTTAGCGGTCATACATACACCAATATAGACCAGTTAATCAATTGTTCTAGCTATTTTGACGTCACATATCATATTAGAATTATTGTGGAATTAAATGCTGAAGAGCTGCCTATATGTGTTGTATTCTTTTTACAAATGTCTTTGTGAGCTCTAGGTCAATTTATGTCAAATTGCCAGAGACCTTAGAAAATTTACATTCCTAAATCAATTGTTAGTTATCAAGAATAACATATTGTCATGAGAACATTACAAAATTGTTTATTTCTGTAAAATTTCTAGTAATGGCCTCCAGTTTACTTGATTTTTTTATTTGAAATTTCACCCAGATCAGTTTCAGGATTTGACATTGTATTCAGGCGAGAACCTTTATTTTATGCTGGATGCAATTACCTGTGCATTCCCATAAGATGGAGGGTCACCACTCATTGCCTGAACATTTAGAAGTGCAAATTTGGTTGTGTCATGGTCCAGACCAGAGTTGACACTGATTACTCCAGTGGTCTGTCCCATAGAGAAGAAGCCATTGGGATCACCTGAGATAATGGAGTAACTGATGGATGGATTTTCTGTAAAAGAATAGATGATTTCATTAATACCTAGTATCTATTGTTTGATTAACAAGCACAATACCTTTTAAATATAATTGAACTATTTTCACATAATTGGTTGACCCAACAGAAGACTCCATAACAATATGGTTAATGGCATATTTATGATGAAGTTTTAACTACATGTACCTGGGTCTGATGTGCTTGCAACAATTGTCCCCACAGAGGTCTCTCTGCTGGCATCTTCAGGAACTGAGAATCTATACAGAGCACTTTCAAAGGTAGGTGGCTGCTGATTTCTGCCAATCACGCTGATGCTGACATTTCCATTGATCAATGAGACTTCTCCACCACCATCAGTGGCACGCACATCAAGGTTTATGACTTGATCTTGATTGGACAATGTTTTCTTTAGTGATATCACACCTAAAACAAAAAATACATAATAAAAGTGTTAAAAATAATCTGTCAAAGACTATTTGAAATTTCCCAATTGTAAAATTATACGTATTGACATGCCTTACCATTGTCTCAACATTCAGCATCAAAAACTTTGATCTAAGTATATATCAAATACAATATTTGGAGAACATACCTGTGCTTCTGTTAATCCCAAAATGACCTGCCTCATTCCCCCTTATGATCTCATAGGTCACCTGACCAAAGCTTCCAGAATCAGCATCTGTTGCCCGGACAACCACAACCTCGCTATGGAGTGGACTATTTTCCTTCAAATTAACTGTGTACACTCTGGGATAGAATTCTGGGTAATTGTCATTGACATCTATCAGCGTGACTTTAACCATGGCGGTAGTGTCAAGGCCATCTGGAAAGACAATTGTTAACTAGATTACAAGAATACACATCAACAAGATTCCTACACAAGTGTAGCAAGAATTTCAAAAATGAATATAAAATATCAACAAATAGGAATCCATGACTCATAAGTAAGTAGGCCCCATGTAATCAATCATGAAACACCAGACCTGAACCTACATTGAGGCAATACATATGTTGTCTTATAAGTTTTCTAAAACAGAGAGGGGTTGATACGCATGTATATACACATGCACACCTTATGTATTGAAGCATATGCATCTTAGAAAAAATAGAACAGGCTGAAGTATTTAGATGTATCTCTATCAGACCTGTTACTGATACTAGAATTCATGCTGTTTGAAAAAACATTTAGAGTAAAAGTATGCCACATGCCCCCTGGTCTTCATGATCCATTAGCTCTTCCAGGTTTATATTCCTAGCTAGAAATACAGACAACACAGAAATACAGACATCCTTCTTTGCTTTAACTCTTTCTCTAGTCATGCTTTTCAATGCTACCTCTGGAATTACCAACTGTATATCATCATTTTCAGGCATTCTCAGTACAGCTAGAGTATCAACTTCATATATTTGCTATATTTCATGCATATTCTTCTCTTTTCACTATTTTGACCACAAATATTGTTCATCCAAATATTAAGACATCACAAGAATTGATTTGTAAACATGGCCAAGAAATTGATGATGTGGTTTATCTTGGTGTAGCTTTAAACCAACAACACACTGAGTTGATTAGTGATTTATTATGATTAAATTTGAATTCTCTTTAAATAGTATAAAAACATTCCTTTTAGCAAATATAGACAATGAGATTTTTGAACTGATCCATTCATCTTATATCACAATTTACCTGAGTCTAAAAAGAAAGAAACAAAGTATAACTGAGACTTGTAATTCAAATATTTTGTCATTTTGTCCTCTAACTGGCCAGATTTCAAGAGTAAATCTCTTGTTACATCAATTCAATGCAGACATTTTGATTTTTCATTAAGTTATTTGTTTGATTTGTATGTTTTTGTTGGTTTATATGTTTCCTCTCAGTGAAGTTTCAGTTCCTATGACAACAACTGATCATTGACTCCAGCTTGAAGATATTATGCTACAGTGACACATTATAGGAGTCATCATAAAGTCATCATTGAGACATGGTAACATAAAGTCATCATTGAGACATGGTAACATAAAGTCATCATTGAGACATGGTAACATAAAGTCATCGTTGAGACATGGTAACATTATATTATGTTGATTTTGCATCTAATATTTCCAATAGTCCTCCTCTGTGCCCTTATAGCATTGAGGATGGGTGAGAGGTAAAATGAGTGACCAAAGAATTGACATAAAATAAGCCAGGATTAGTCCTGCTTCAAGCCCTTGGGACTCCCTTCTCATCTACAGGTGAAGTATATAGAGGTAAGGCTATGGGTCCAGAGACTCGATGCAAGCCTATCCTAGGTTGACTAATCTGTGTTTGTGAAACTAACACTTACATATAATTTAATATGAACACAGAAGTGATAACATACAGACTACATAGGTGTAATAATGGTCAAGAGTGAGTGAAAAATAGGAAATGAATATTACCTACAGATTGATATTTAACCAAATTTGTGAATTGTGGAAAAGATGATGAAAGGGAGATCAGAAAATATTAATAAAGAAGTATAAACATATTAAGTATGAAGTTGTGCTTTGAACAAAAAGTAATGAAAAGTTACCTTCAGATCCATTAAAATAGCCTGATGTAAAAAGCAACAAAAACTATTTTTACCAGACAAATAATAACAAGATGTTGGCAAATAACATTGGGGAACATCCCCCACAGGTGTATGATTAAGGCACATGCTTAAAAGCTCATTATGGCCATGTCTTTTTTATCCTCTGTATGTCTTTTAAAACCATACAAGTGTCATCTACTTTAGTAATCCTTTTTGAATAAGCTTGTTACCCTTCATGCAGCTTGCTTTAATCATAATTTGAATATTTATTTCAGTTTTCTCCATTTAAAAGCAAGATCACTAGCATATTTTATTTGCAAGTAGGGTTGAAGTTAACTCATGTTTTCACTCCCTGCAGTCAGGCATAAACATTGGAAACATATGTGCTTTAAGTAATTAGGAATAATGAGCTTCAATTGCTAAAACTGAAAGTCATCACAGTGCTCCTCTTGGAGCAAAATTCACAGTTTTCACAATTCCGACCAAAGTTGGCCAAAGTATGCCTAATTTTTAAGAATTTTCTCAGTTTCAAATATGTAGGTGCAAGCCTATTTTCAATTCTCACATGGGTGCAAGTTATTTTCAAATCCCACATGGGTGCAAGCCTATTTTCAAATCACAAGTGGGTGCAGCTTCAAAGCATCCACATATTTTCTGACAAAATATTGAGGTTTTCTGTTTTTAAACAATTGTATAATAATTATGTTTAATTAGCCAAAATGTAACTCACCTTGATCTTTGGCTGTGACAGGAAATTCATAGATCTTCCTTGTCTCATAGTCCAGTGGTGCAACAATACATATCCTGCCATCTATCTCCCCAATGGTGAACTCTGCTGGGTTCTCAAAGCCAAGATTTGCTGCGATGGAGTATGTCACCTTGGCGTTGACGCCACAATCTGGGTCAGTGGCAGACACCTGCAGCATACAAAACACACTATAAGTATGAGACATGTATATATGTACGTATGCATGTGTGCATTACCAGGTATGTATTCTTGGGATATCTCGCAGTATTCTAAAATGAATATTTTCAAGATTTTCTACAACATATTTCAGGTATAAATGACATATATCCATTCATACGTTTATGCGTTAGTTAATTGATTAATTGATTGGCACATACATATATGTATATATATATGTTAGTTATGGCAAATATAAATTAATACACTGCTATTATTTTATAAATGTATTATTTATATATTATTAATGAATGTTATGTGGTCTAAGGTGCAAGGATGCAGGTGTCTCAATGTTATTATTATGTCACTTTAGTATTTTTCATAAACAATTCATAATATTGCATATTAGTTTATTTTCTATCAAAATTGTTGTTCTAGACACACATTCAAGTATCTCAAGTATAAAATGACACATTTCACAACTAATGTTTCACCTATTGCTATTTGCCAAACAAAACAATCCCATTTGGATTTTCTATATACATGTACTACATTTAGATGAATAAGAGATTTAAAATATTTTTGTGAAGGCTTGTAATTTCCAAAAGCAATGAACTTTGGTTTTATTCCCTATAAACATTCCTTGATTATGAACCATTGTTGAATTGATTCAAGTCATGAGATAACTTCCTTTTGGCATATGTGTTTCTCCAAGAATCCAATGGCTCTGTCAACACCACCCCCACTCAAGTGTACCATGAACAAGGCCATCAGTTAGACTTGGTTCTGCCTGTCAGACCTCATATAGTAGTCTATATATCCTTGCCAGATTGTTCTGTCACTATACATAGCCACAAATACTGACTAAATCAAAAAAATCTGTATTGGATGGTATTAATCAAACTTGTCAATGGATGAACCAAGTTGATTTCATTAAGGGGAGGGGGTAATGCCTCAGTCACATTTGATCATAGTTCCCAAAATTGAGAGAAATATGGGCATAAAACATAGGGGTAAGTAGTATGATGTAGATTTTCTGTATCGATTTTGTGAAGCTATATGAAGCAAATGTGACTGAGTGTTTTGAGAAATGTTGATTTTCAATTGAAAACACTTTGTATAAAACTGAAATCTCTTCTTTATTAGTTAGATCACATCCCTCCTATTCTTAGCAAACTTGGAAGACATATATGCAAACACTGTTGTATTTATAAACATGCTAAGGACATTATGTACATATGAGAAACAATTACTCTGGAATGTCAGACTAATGAGTGCCTTAGCCTCAAATTTATTAAAACCACACATAAACCTGGCAACATATCCCTTCTGTGTATGTCATATAAGTATATCTTGGAATTTTTCAAACAATTAATGTGAACATTTAAAAGCTTGCCAAAATGATGACTTAGCATTTGTAAAATCTTGTTCAACATCATATACAGATCATCATAACACATCTTCTAATTAAACTATAGCTTTACCCTAAATGATAGCAAATGTGGAAATAATGCACTTGATTTGGCTGATGAGGATTAATTGAAGAGTTGAAGAGAACCAGACTGGGGTACATGATACTGTGATAACATAGGGTTAAAGTTAACCATTATTTACCTACTCATTCTTATTGAATTGTTTGCGACTCTACTTGGAAATAAATACTTCTGAGTTAACATTAAATATAATATAAATATATTATAAATTATGAAGTAAGTAGTATGCAGTTAGGAACTAACATACACAGACAAAAAAACAAAAACAAAAACAGATAAAATCAGAGAATGAAACTCATGATGTTACATAATAAATATGATGTTTCAAATTACATATGGTATATCTAATTTTGTATATTGTGCTGTACAGTATATATGATGTTTCATATATTACATATACTGTCTAATGTAACTTTTCATATTGTATATATAAGATTACAGGAATAACAACTACCCTAACTCTTACATAATAACGAAGAATAGCAACAAATGTCAAGCTGTACAACTGTTAATCTACTTTACTAATTACTTAATATCAACTCAGTAAATTATTACAAAGATAAGCAACTGCTTCACAAGAACATCTCAGTTCCCATAACGGTCTAAATTAAAAAGTCCAAAGAGGATCTCTCCCATGATTCATTGCATATGATGTTTGTCCCTATGAACTTTGATGGATGTCTTTAAAGTATTGCAAAGTATGCTGGGATAAGAACATTGTTAGATTTTATTAGTGATAAGACTAATGCCTAAGGATCCAGACATGTATGTAGAATGCATAATGAAAATGAGAATAATCATTTGTCTTATTCTTATACATAATAGTAGCAAGCTCCAGATAGAACAAATGCTGAACAACCGAAAACCAATTTCTGATAGAATATAATTCTTTTCAGAGTTACTCATAAACTATTTCAAACAATGCCTGTAACATTATTCATTGTTTCCTTCATTGACATTTTCTAAAGTCTGTTTTTATGTGAATCTTATTGAATGTATGCTAAGATGTATCAATGCCAGCTTATATATGTGAATTCAATTTGACACTTTAATTATCACTTGCTTGTTTGTAAATAGGTATTGGTAGCAATGCAAAAGTTTACAGCAAGTTAATCGTTCACTCAAGAGCGGAATTTATGGTGCGTTCATAAATGAAATATAAACAGATATAAAAAAGAAATAATGAAACATTCTAAAAGAAGAACTTTTCAATTTATCTTCTTGGGTAAAGAAAATAGACTCATAAAAGTTCAATTTCTAAAATTACAAAACATCTGCTATGATAGACCCCCTACAGTTTGCAATTTCTGAAATTACTAGCTTTACAAATATTCGGACATCAAAATTCTTAGACTTTGAAATATTTTTTGACAATTTAATGATCAAATGAAAATTTGCCTAAAATCTGTATGATTACCAAAACCAGAAGGTCATAAGTCATGATCAGCTACATGTGATTCTTTACAATACCTTAATTACAGGTGTATAAGTTGCTACAATTTCCAAGACAGATGATCTAGAGGTTAAAGTTAGGAGCACAGTTGGTGAAAATGACAAAATATTTCAAACTGTAGGATCCTAAATTATAATGACCACTGTTTCCAAACATTTACCACAGGGGACCTAAATAACAATACTCTATACTTTCGCCATTAAAACTTATTCAGTTTCATCATTTGTTAATGCCCAGTATAGTATGAAATAATTGAAGACCTTTGGTCATTCTCAAGTTTTATTAACTCCTCCAACTTGGCTATTTCCCCAACATAGCAGCAGGGTCTCCCTATTGTCTATATCATTAACAAAGAATGTTCCGGATTCCAAGCTTGAAACATCAAGCAAAGTAGTTGGCAATTCTCATCTCATTGAACATTATTAGAATACAGTTGAAGCATTATGAATCCACTACTAAAGCATTGTTGCCAAATTATTAGAAGAACAATATTTAGCTACACTGCTCTGTTGAGTTATTCCACATCAAATCATTTCAACAACAAGGAGAGCAATTTCTCATTATTCTTTTCAAACATGTTTGGTTTTATCAAACCTGGATCAAGCAATGGCCGGGTCTCTGCTCATAAGATGCTATATCACCCATCCCCCCCACCCGCCTCTATACCTGGAAGCAAGTATTTCCAGATCGCATGAGAAAGCATGAAGATGAACTAAAATATTTGTTTTCTAGCAATAGCAGACAATGAATATACTGTTCATTAGATGCTGAATGAAGTATCATAAAATATTCATGGCTCAGTAATTAACAAGTGAGATGACTTCTCTAATGTAAGACAAACAGATATAATTGGCCATATCAACCTTAGGGGAATGTATTAATTAACATTCAGATGAAATGTATGTAGCTAAGATGGTAATGTATAAGTACATGTGAGTCAAGAAACTAAATATCTCTTTCAACTATTGTAGACCCCTGATGAATCAACAACAATTAAAACATAATAATGATTCATATACTTTTGAATTGGAATATCAGAATCACATCTACTTCACTTAACTTCATTTTCAAATTAATTTTGAGAACACAGAAAAAATATATTTCTCAATTAACCCTTGTTTTGATAGTGAAATAAATTACATCCATATATAGATGGCAGTATAATCATACAAATCAATAGGTAAATAGGAATCAGAACCACAACAGTTGATACCATTAAGGTCACAAAATCAGTTTTAAGTAAAGTAAAAATAAGATATTTAATTGCACATAATGCTTAATGTTACAATGGTTAGCTGGTAATAGACCATAAAAGACATAAAATGTAGATACAACATCTGCCAGGTAAAGCAACTATGATAGACAGCAATTAGACACCTACAATACAGTAATATACATGCATCGGTAGAGTTCATATTGGAAAAGACCCTCCCCCTTTTCCCAAATCTTATGGGCCAACATAACATATGAGGGAAATCATGGATATACTGAAAACAAAAAAAATGTATCAATGTTAAACTAGACCAGTTACAGTTATTCCCCAAGATAAAAGTGCGGAGTTCAGTCCTAAAATAGGATAGCGGCAATGGGAATATATGATTTCTGATCTCAGGTTTCAGAGACCTTAAAATGAATATGACATTTAATGTCCTTTTATTGTATTTTATGTTCTTTAATATAAAACACTTTATTAAGATGTCTTCATTTTAAACTATGTGCATATTTCTATATTCCTGGTATATAAAGATATGACATTAAGAACCCCTCAAGAGCAGAGAATCCTATATTTATCCCACTCTCAATTCTTAACTTCCATCTCATATTTCCAGTTTTCACAATTGCATATTCTCATCATAAGGTACACCTGTATTGGAAACAATCAGCCTTCTGTTAAAACGCAACCTGAGAAAAAATGCAACCATAAAGTATAGCAGAGAGTGAAAATTATCGGTTCAAATTGCTATTTTGTTGTGTTGATGTGTCTACCCACTGTGACATAGGGCAGCTAGTGTACCAAGAGTTGGAGGGACCTCATGCTCTAAATGCAACATCATAATTACATCCCCT